GTGTAGAAATTTTGGAAAGTGACAACAACCTCCGATTTATTTTTTAAAATGTAGACTCACATCATCCGAGTGTGTTCATCAATCAAAGTTAGAAGCCATCGTTTATCAGATAGCTAGAAGTGCGAGAGAGTCCTCATAGATCACTGTGAATGAGAAAAAAAGGAGTGGAAGGTGTGTGAGTGTGGGGGGGTGATAGACCCAATGATATTTGACTAATTGACATTTCTCACAATTGAAATTAAAAAAAAACTTATTAGAAAATAACAACGGGTACAAATTTTTTAAACATTAGAAACTAGGATTATCCAAATGACAGTGCAGCATTATAAGACATTCAGTGACTCGAGATAAGCTACAACTTCTGAGAGGTGTGTTATCACTCTTTGTGCTCTTCTCTTGAAAGTAGTAAAGTTCAATTACCCTCTAAGAAGTTACAATCATTCTCCCTGAACGATAATCCTAAAAAACACATCCATCTGAATAGAAATTTGCAATGTAATCAAATATCATTCATCAACTTGCGACATATAACAAGTTACATTGCAAAAGAGGAACATGTAAAACAACTTCAGAGTTAAACCGATCGTCATTACAACTGACACTTTATCAACAATAGAAGTACAAAAGCCATCAGCAATTCTGACAGTATCTTCCCCAGAGCATGGATAGTAAGTTGAGAAAACTTGCGAGCATCCAGTCATGTGATCTGTGACACCTGAATCAGCAATCCATGGACTAAAGGAGGAAAAAATCGTTAGAGCCATAGGAAAAGTACTTCGTCGAACGTGAGAGGTAGATGCACTCGCAGAGAATTGATTGGCTCCAGCTTTGTCGAACGTGAGAGGTAGATGCACTCGCAGAGTATTGATTGGCTCCAAGTAGCTTAAACAATTGTTTCATCTGATTTTTCAGGGATTCGGAGGATTCCAAGATGTTTTGGATAGGAGTTGGTTTAACTGTGGTAGATTCACAAATCACTGTGAGACCTTGGTAGCAAAGAATTTGGATGGATGTTTGTTTGTCGATTTACCATGAAGCTTCCAACACTTGTCCCAAGTGTGGTTGGGTTTGTGAAAGTAATCACAAGTGGGATGATCAGCCCGAGGGGGCATGGAAGAGGGTTGAGCACGATTCAAGATCAAGGCGGACGATTCGGCTGAAGGAGTAAAAGTGTCAAGCATAACAATTCTCCAACTCTCTTCCCGACGAATCTCGGTGAAGGCAGCGCGAGCGGAGGGAAGAGGGTCCCGACTAAGAATACGAAAGGTCTTTGTTAAGGTCGGTCAGGAATTGGAACATACAATTCTTTTCTACAACCTTCTGTAAAAGAAAAAGATTTGTCGAAGAATTTCATGTGTAGTCGTAGTACAGGTCGCACTCCATCCATAGTGCAACAAGGTTATTATAGTATTGGGACACTGACAGCGACTTTTTATATACCTTAAAATACACGAATTTGACATCACTACTAGAAGATTTAAATCCCCGGCAACGGCGCCAAAAGCTTGATGCAACTTTTAATATGCAATAATTTATGAACCCAGATTTATATATTTATAATAATTTTGTAAAGTCACAATTTCAAACGCAAGTATACGTATCGCTCAAGTAATACAGGGCTCTAGTGGAGTCCCGTTTATCGATCCCACA